TAAATAGATCTTTGTTAATTTAAAGTTTTATTGTAATCGTTTGCTTTTGTAAAACATTTGAAATGTTTTTGGGGGATTCTTGTGAACATATTGTATATTTTATGTATAGGCTTCCTCCAGAGTGCCCTCCGTCAGAGAAACATACTTCAATCATTCCTGTGGAAGTGACCAATCAACTGGAAACATCACAGACCTGCTATGAGCTGCACTTCAAGAATGACCCCACACTTACCGTCATGTTAACGCTGGTATGGAAATATCATACTCAGACAACGTCACTTCTTCAACCATGATACAGATAATTAAAGAAAATATTCAAATTATTCTGTGCTTTTTCTTCTTTAGGAAGACAAAAGTGTGGCAGTGCAACATCTGCTTGAAGTCAGCGTGGTTCTGCTCGCTGTTTGTTTGTTGCTCTGCTTAGCTGCAAGTCTCACAAACTCCAAGACACGCCACAAACAGCACAGTGGGCTCGACCTCCAAAATGTAAGTCTCTGATGTTACGTTGCCATCAAAAATTATTTATCTATATTTTAGTAATCTGTTCATCACAGTATTTGTAACATGAAAGACTTTGATAATGTGTACACTGTTTACCCTATTTTTCTTGATTTACTGTATTTACAGGAGCCCCAGATTGACAGTTGACCATTTTGCTCATTCTGTGCCACAAAGAAATCAGCTGGTTCCTGAAAGAGAGCAACAAGTGCTACTGCTTTCAAAACTGCATTCAGCTGCTTTAACAAGACACCACTTTACGTTGTAGGTAGTACTGGTAGTGCTGGTTACTGCTTCTCACTTTGTGAAAACAGCACTATGATGTCATACAAGACTCTGGAGAAACTTAACTTTTGTTAAATGAATCCTGGTAACGTGTCGGGTCACARCCCGTGTTGAGTTCATGTGAACTAAAACACTTGATCGATTGAATGGTCTGCACTAAATTCACAGTACCAAAATAATCTTGCTTACATCGTTTGTCRTTTTGTATGAGATAATTTAATCTATTTTCTGAAAATCTCTTTTTAAATGTTGATTTATAACATCATGTGAACTGTGCTTAGTTCATATTTATCAGTTAAAAACAGCCTTGTTAGGTTCAAAGTTAATTGAAAATACAGTATAATCACTCATAGATGTGTTCATGCATGACTAAGGTTATATCAGTTTGGGTTTGAAGACTTGATTTTTTTTTATTATGAGTCATTTTTAAGCTTGACTCAAACTTCACAACAAAATATTTCAGTGTTGTCTAATATTTCCTAACTTGATGCTTGTGCTTTATATGCAAACAGAGAGTATTGAATATAGCAGGACAGTAGTAAAAAAAAGCTACAAAAGCAACTCTTAAGTTAATTATCTACACCACAGTCGGTATATGCAGCATCCTGTTGATTTGATTTTTTTTTACAAAATACTCTCAGTAATAGTAATTTTTCCTAACCGGTTTGGTTTACCAGACAAATCAATTTGTATTAGAGATGGGGCAGCACAGCTGAGCAGTGGTTAGTGCTGTAGAAGGTTGCAGGTTCGTCTCCTGCTCTTTCTGAGTGAGGTTTACATGTTCCTCCCTTGAATGCAAGGGATTTTTTTGTGTACTCTGGCTTCTTCTCACAGACCAAAACATGCATCTTAACTTGATTTGTAACTAATCTGTGARTGGCTGTGACCTTTAGTGGATGTTTCTTGACTTCTTGAAATTATTATTACTTTCTCAATATGGAGATGTTTTTGATCCATCTTAATGTTTTCCAAAATGTTTAGAGAATAGTCTGCAGTTTTTGTGTTCTAAACATTGAAAGGGTAACTTGAATGTTCTGATAAGGAATGTTCCTTTAAGGATCCTTGAAGGCAAATTGTAACTTTTTATACAATGTAGCCTAGCAAGAGAAACATCTGGGAACAACACAAAGTCAATGTTTGCCTTTAAAAAAGTTTTGATGTACATGTAACTCACTAAAACCAGATGCAACCAGAACTTTTGCACATACTTTAAAAAGAAACCTTCTTGCCAGGGGTGTCACTAGGTTTTAAGTACGGGGGGGTGTAGCCCCCAGGAGACCCACAGAATTTTTGTATATTATATATTTGTATTGTGTGTGTGTATGTATGTATGTATGAATGTGTGTATGTAT